AAAAAAAAAAAAAAAAAAAAAAAATCAAATCCAAAAAAATATGAAAAAAAATTGTGTTGTGTAGAATTGCAATACAAACAACTTTTGGTTGAGGGTCACATCAGAATTCGTCACAGAGCAGCACTTCCGGGAGCGCTGCGCCCCGCCGGGTTGGCACTCTCACACGGGCAGTCCTGTGGCGCCCTACAACGTGGAAACACGCGAGCGCGAAGTGGCAGCTGGGTATGACGTGGGCAGTTTTGGCGTGACGGCGCCTTGGTGATGGGGTAGTGATGAGGTAGAGATCGGACAGCGGGAGGGCAGGAGGATGGAGCGTGACTCAGTGTTGCCTGCCTTTTGAAAGAACTTCGGTGTCATCTCCAGCTTTGCGCTTCATCCAGTGGTGTTACAGGTTAGCACGTTGGGTGAAGGGGAACTTGCCTTCGAGAGGAGGTGGGTCTCCTTGAGAAGTTCAGCCTTCTTATGGCTTTTGCTCCTTGGTATGCGTAGTGTTGTGGTAGGCGGTTGGTATGACGCGGACGGAAAGGAGGAGCGCGTGCTTACGTGGAGCGGGAGGAGGATTGGAGGCGATGTCGAGTGTGTTGATTTCAGTTTTTGTATACATCTCTGTCATCTGCGGCACTCTCGCTGATCACCACCAGCAGCAGCAACGGCGTTATCATCATTAGGGTGCTGCTCGTCACCATCATCATCAACAGGGCGTCATTTGACAGCATCATCATGGTAATGGTTTGTCATCATCATCAGGGCGCTGCTTGTCATCACCATCATCAGCAGCAGGGTACTGCTCGTCGTCATCATCAAGGCGTATGTCTTCACTGCTGTTCGGCGCTAAGCCGTGCATCAGGGGCGCTGCTCGTCACTCGTATCTCCATCGTCAAATATCTCTCCATCATACGGCACGGTTGGCAAAGCTTGACGTCATCATAGGACGTTGCTCATCATCATCATCATCATCATCATCATCATCATCATCTTTAGGTTATCATCCAAGGTGCTCGTCATCACACCATCATCATCTTGTAGTCATCATAGGGCGTTGTGCATCTTCATCATCATCATCATCATCATCATTACTGAGATCACCATCAACATCATCATTATTATGATCAGCATCATCAATATCATCAACATCATCATCATCATCATCATCATTATCTACATCACCATCATCATCGCTATCATCATTATCATCATCATCATCATCATCATCATCATCATCAGTTTGTAATCATAGGGGTTGTTGGTGCTACTCTTTGGTATGATCAGCATCATCATTCCGTTTTCATTCTCATAATTGTCATCATCATCATCAGCTTGTTTTCATTAGATGTTGCTCTGCATCAGCAGGTGAGTTGGTTGTCACCATCATTCTCACCATCATCGTCTTCAGGGTGCTGTCCATTGTCATCAACAAAATCCAACAAAATCCAAGCGAATGATATTTTGGTAAGTGTGTCATCAATAACTGCAGTCGGCTGGATCAAATTGTTCCCGGAGGGCTGAACGGTGGGGAGGGGGTGGGGGGAGCTCTATCCTGTAGGGGCATCACAAGGTGGGGGGTGGATGTCTCAAAGRGGGTRGGGGSGGMGWRGGGGGTTGCCTTATTATGGGGCAAGGACTGTGTGTGGGTCAACATCAGTCCCTGCGGAGGCGGAAATGGGCAGAGGGCGGGGGGGCATGCTTTAGGTGGGAACTGCGTGCTCCTGGGGAAAAGGGGGGAGAGGATTGGTCCTATATTGGGGCCGAGGGAGAGTGGGTGACTCTCCTCGGCGGAGGCAGTGTAGGGCTGAGGGGGGAGGGAGGGGCTATCATCCAGTTTACTATAGCTTTCCATTTGGTTGCCTCTCGAGGAGGTTGTAGGAATAGGTGTTATCTGGCAAACCATCTGTGATCCTATGAGGGGTGGTTGAAAAGTCGGCGGCCCTCGAAGACCGATGTTGGAGCAACGCTGGCCGGAGCCGGAGCCGGAGCCAGGTGGCGCAACTCTGTGACCTAGCTTAGTGGGGGCGTGAGGCCTGGTAGAGAGCTCTGGGGGGCTGTTTGCGGGGGCAGTCCCAGTGGTCATTGGGGTCGTAACTGGAGCAATGCTGGCCGGTGCTGGAGCAAGGTGGTGCAACTCTCTAACCTGATGGGAGCATGAGGCCTGGAAGAGCTTCGGTTCGTGCTTGAATTAGCCATGCTGGTGGTGGTCGTAGGTGGATTGAATAGGTTTCACCTATCTGATTTGTGATGGGGAGGCTTTTTGACACACATATTCTATTGACTTGGGAGAGTCTGGTTAAAAAAGGTCGGTTGTTCTTATGAATGTCTTAGGTAGGCGGTTTCTATGCTGTTATACTCAGTGATCCGTGGCCGTTCGATGCCAGAACGACGCTGGCCGGTGCTGGGGTGTTGTCCTGTAACCTGCTGATGCAGTAGCGTGAGGCCTGGTAGAGAGATCTGGGGATGCTTTGGGGTGGGCATCCCAAGGGACGACCAAGGGTTGCTGCTGGGATGACGCTGGTCGGAGCTGGGGCGAGTTGTGTTGCCCTGTAACCCAGCAGGGTGGGGGCGTGAGGCCTGGAAGAGCTCAGCAGATAGTAAGACGGTGTTGGGAAGTCTTAGAAGGGTTTGTCAGGGAACCTGAGGGTAGTGACCTCTGTGGCAGGTTATTGCACGAGTAATTCCCTAATAGGCATTAGATACTCGGGATCCTCCCCATGTTTCTGAATCTCATCGTGTTCACAGATTGTTCTCAGCCGAAGCCAGGTAATGGCCCCGGTATCTCAAATGACCTCAAACGACCTCAAATGTTCTCAATGACCTGTATAATTCGATATGGGACGCTGGGCCTGGTTCCCAGCATGTGCTGCTCCCCACGAATATACTGGAGCACTTGTGCGGAAAAAAAAAAAAAAAAAAAAAAACATATCACACTAAGGCACCCCCCTTTAAACCCCTTTAGCCCCTTTAAAGTTCATTTACACTCCCCCTTCCCCCCCTTGACAGCCAACACTCAAAAATAGAAAAGAGCCCGGATTTGGGCTCCTCTCAGAGAGCGTGGAAAAACCCCACCGCCAATTTTTTTATTTTTATTTTTTGCCATGATCGGGTCACCCGGACGTCAGAACCCCCCGGGCATGAAAATCTTCCTAGCCTAAAAGCACTACAAAACGTTATTCGGAGTAGCTTTCGGAGCTCGCCAATTTTTTTCCCGAATTCGGTGTTTTTGCCAACTTTTTTGTTAGCGGTCCAAATGCATCGAAACTGAATACACATATACCCTGAAGCACATACAGATCACCAAAAAAAAAAAAAAAAACCAAAAAAACCGTACTTCAGGCGCATTGATGTGCGCTGCACCGCGCACACACGCCGCACTGCGCACAGCACACGACACGCGCACACTGGGTGCGGCACACCCTGAAAATAAGGGGTCAAAAAAAAAAAAAAAAGTTGGGGAGGGGGGTTTCAGACCCCAGTGAGATGTCGCGTCATAAACCACAAAAAAATAAAAACAAAAATTTGAGGCAGCGCGGGGCCTCCAAAAAAAGAAGGGGGGAAGTTAGTTTTTTTGTTTGTGTGTGTGTGTGTGTGTGTGTGTGTGTGTGTGTGTGTGTTTGTGTGTGTGTGTGTGTGTGCGTGTGTGTGAGAGAGAGAGAGAGAGATGGTGGGAAGAGGGAGCGATGGTGGATGGCCGAAGGTGGGAGAAAGGCCGAAGGTGGGATGGTGGGAAGCGGCGGAAGAATTCGGGAGAGAGAGAGAGAGAGAGAGAGAGAGAGAGAGAGAGAGAGAGAGAGAGAGAGAAGTAGCAATGGTGGATGGCGGAAGGCGGGAGAAAGGCCGAAGGTGGGATGGTGGGAAGCGGCGGAAGAAGTTGGGAGGAGAGAGAGAGAGAGAGAGAGAGAGAGAGAGAGAACAAAATCAAATGAATCTACCGCTAGAACATGGAAATGTACATTGCGCACATGTGCATAGCACGTCAGATGTGTGCAGCGCATCGCGCATGGCGCACATGCACAGCACGCCAGACGTGCGCAGCGCAGCGCGCAGCTCGCACTGTACACCCAGATGGGCGGCGCGCGCAGGGCGCGTAGCGCACAGTGCCAGTGCGACGGAAGTATGAAAAAACATCAATTCGGGGAAATATGGCAGTTTCGGTGAAAAATCCGCTGAAAATGACACCACCTCGCGACTAATATCTGTCTTCAGACTCTTCACATTCTCCATCGGCCATTTTATACACTGTCAGACTTCGTTGTGATTGCCGTTCAACTTGATGCTGATCTTCCCTGCCTGCAGCCAAAGGATTGTAATTATACAAGGGAAAGAGGCTTTTCCATTCTTGTCCTACAAGTGGCAATGAGGGACCGCCAATTTGAACTACGCAATGCTCAAGCAGCCAAGTGGTTTAACCCTCCATCGCACGTCTCTGCCTGCATTGTACACGGATCTGGCCAGTATATGGCCGTTGTACATGCCTCTGACCACTGGTAGCTTTGGAACGACAGCATCATGGTCCATGCCATGACTGGTGTTACCGAGTTCCTATATGATGATGCTGTTTTCTTGCCACACCTAACCGTCCGGAATCTCTTTTATGTTGAAGATCATTCCTTTGGCCCCGTGCTGCAGCAGCAGGATAGTGTACCAACACTCTGTGGACCTTCTCCTTTGCACAACTAGAAACACTTACACTCCGCTGTAGCAGCCATCGTCTGTCACAAGCACTGCAATGACATGGTTTCTGCATCCTTGTGTGTGGACTGTCCCTCTGTTCCTGATTGCAGGCACCCACCGCATCCGGACACTAGATGTCCATTTTGCGCCCATGGGCATCATACCGAGTGCATGGTCTTTTGCGGTGCCTGTTCTTCCTTCATGTTGGCCTGCAATTGACATGCCATTTCTCGGGAGTGTATGGTGGGCATGCCCAATGCCAGCCGTCGTGGCAATTGTTGTACCGAGAATGCTCAACTAGGTGTATGCCATCTCTACCGTCAAGGACAAACTGATCCTTGAGCCTTTTCTGATCCTCTCCTTTTCTTTCATCTTCATTCTACACTCCTTACTTTCCCTTTGTCTTTCTTTGTTTTGTCCTCTCTCCATCTCTCTTCTCTGTGTTTATCCCCTCCCCCTTTACAGTGTCTCTTTCTCACAGCGTACAAGTGGTCCATTATGGCACACGAAGATGAGGGCAGCTCGTGCTCAACTTCATCAGCGTGGCAAGCCTTGTACGTGAGAGCCATGGTGGAGGGGGAGTTAAAAGAAGAATGAGCAAAGCAAATGGTTTTTAGTGTGCTCTTCATGTTTGTCTTTTGTCTTTTTATCATTTTTTCCTCACAAAGTGCACTCTTTTAGTTCGTATGTGACAATATATTTCATCCTCAATAAAGCAAGGAGCGGGTCTCGTGTGGGAGTGGGTCTCGTGTGACCGTCCCACACGAGACCCCGATTCCTAAGTTGGGAACACGCCGGGCAGGAACCGACGGGCCCACCGGGCAGGCTGAATCACAACGGGTGCGAAGTGGGGCCAACGCGCGGCAGATTAGAGGAGCGTGAGGAGGTACAGGAGGGAGGAGGAGAAGCGGGAGAAGGAGCAGGAGGAGCGGGAGAGGGAGCAGGAGAGGGAGCGGGAGGAGCGGGAGGAGCGGGAGGAGGAACTGGGGGAAGAGCAGGAGAAGCAGCAGGAGAAGGAGGAGCAGCAGGAGCGGGAGGACCAGCAGGAGGGGGAGCGGGAGAAGGAGAGGGAGGAGGAGCGGGAGGAGCAGCGGGAGAGGGAGCGGGAGGAGGGCGAAGTTGTGGTGGAGCAGCGGGAAGTCAGTCTCTCTCTCTCTCTGTGGCTAGCCATGTGGTGGGCCTTATTTCTTTTTTTTCCGTAGGAGATGGCTATGGCGGGATCTTTGTCACGTTGTTTGGCGGAGGAGTGGGAGGCGGAGCGGGAGGAGCGAGAGGAGTGGGAGAACGAGCGGGAGAAGGAGGAGGAGCTGGAGGAGGAGGAGCGGGAGGAGGAGCGGGAGGGGAAACAGCAAAGGGCGGAGGAGGCACGGGAGGAGGAGCGGGAGAAGGAGAGGGAGGAGGAGCGGGAGAAGGAGCGGGAGCGGGAGGAGCAGCGGGAGGAGCAGCGGGAGAAGGAGCGGGAGGAGGACGAAGTTGCAGTGGAGGCGCAGCGGGAGGTCAGTCTCTCTCTCTCTCTCTCTCTCTCTCTCTCTCTCTCTCTCTCTGTGTGGCTAGCCACATGGCGGCCTCTTTTCTTTTTTTTTCGTAGGAGATGGCTATGGCAGGATTTTTGTCACGTTGTTTGGCGGAGGAGTGGGAGGCGGAGCGGGAGGAGCGAGCGGAGCGGGAGGAGGAGTGGGAGAAGGAGCGGGAGAAGGAGGAGCGGGAGGAAGAGCGGGAGGAGGGGCGGGAGGGGAAACGGGAACGGGCGGAGGAGGTGCGGGAGGAGGAGCGGGAGAAGGAGAGGGAGGAGGAGCGGGAGGAGCGGGAGGAGCGGGAGAAGGAGCGGGAGCGGGAGGAGCAGCGGGAGGAGCGGGAGGAGGACGAAGTTGTGGTGGAGCAGCGGGAGGTCAGTCTCTCTCTCTCTCTCTCTCTCTCTCTCTCTCTCTCTCTCTCTCT